CACACACTTTGGAAGCCCCATGTTGAAGATGCAGAGCTTTTGTCAGCGAGTCCTAGAATGATTCTAGAAGCCAACAGTTGGCCTTCATGGGAGTGAGAAGTGCATTCAGTTTCAGCACAGTAGTAGAGATGTCAGACAACCCCTGTGTTCCAGCATGTGGCTGTCTCAGCCTTAATATGCAAACCTTTCATGCTGTCTCTTGAAGTGTTTTTTCTTTGGGGAGGGCTGGAGCGATAGCACAGTGGTAGGGTGTTTGCCTTGCGTGCAGCCAGCCCGGCCGAGCCAGGTTCGATTCCTCTGCCCCTCTCGGAGAGCCCGGCAAGCTACCAAGAGTATCTCGCCCACATGGCAAAGCCTGGCAAGCTACCTGTGATGTATTCAATATGCCAAACACAGTAACACGTCTCAAAATGGAGACGTTACTGGGCCCGCTTGAGGAAATCAATGAACAACGGGAACACAGTGTTTGTTTTCTTTGGGGAAGATCCCTCTGATCTTTGGCTTCTTCCTAAGCATCCCTTCCACCTGCCAGTCGTGATGGGATCCTGTTTTCAGGGAAGCTTCCTCCCTTCTTGGCTTCTATCTTCTGTGCTTCCTTAGTCTGCGCTTTGTTGCCTCATGACAATAATTTATTTATTTATTTATTTATTATCTTTTTGGGTCACACCCAGCAGTGCTCAGGGGTTACTCCTGGTTCTGCACTTAGGCACTCAGGAGATTACTCCTGATCAGGCTCAGGAAACCATATGGGATACTGAGGATCGAACCAGGGTCGGCTGTGTGCAAGGCCAACACCCTTCGTGCTGTGCTGTCCTTCTGACCCCAGGACAGGCCTTTCTTCCCTGGAAACGGGCACCAGCCCCGTTGCTTCTCCTTTTGCCATGAGCCTCCCCTGAGTCATTGGCCCTGCCCCTGGGTTTGACAGTTGAGGCTCACCTTCCTTCCGTCCTAGGTCACTACCTCTCTCCCCCACCCTCACCCCTACCCCCACCCGTCGCCCACTGCAGAGGGCTTTCAGCAGGCCTCATCCATGTAGGTTTGTTTCCCTAAGCCAAACCCATGCTCTTCCTCTCTCCACCGATGACTCGTCTAGTCACTGAGAAAGTCACAGGTCCAACGTGCACTCCTCCAGAGCCCATCTGTGCCCTGGCCGTGCCACCTGGCCACCTCTGTTCCCATGGAGCCTGGGTGCTGTCCCGGCCCTGGTGTCAACTCAGGGGCTCTTCTCTCTCCTGCAATTCTAACCTCTCTGCTGACCCTCAAAAACAGTTTATAAATATTCTCGAAGCTCCTGTTTATTTTTTGGCGGTGGTGGTTGAGACCGTGGCATAGAGGCGACTGTCCCCGGGCACCCCCATGTGGAGCACGTGCTTCAGCCCCTTCATCCGCTCCCTCACCCGCAATGGCATTCCTCAAAAAGCCACAACATTCCTCAACACCCCCAAGTCTCCGTTCTCATCACTGATGCCCACCTGTCACCCGGGGCCATTGGGTTTTGCGGTCAGCAAATGGGCCTCTTCCTTGTCTTCTCAGAACTGGACACTGCTGGGTGCATCCTCCTGAGATTTCCCTCCTGGGGTTTTGCTCCTCTGGCCCCACTTAACGTCCTAGAGTCACCAAGGGTTCTGTCTCTGGACCCTCCCCCTGTCCTTCCTTCCTTTCTCCTCCATCCGCCCCGGTTGCCAATCCCCTCTTCCTTCCACTCTGCCTCACCCCGCTCTGCTCGCACTGATGATTTACAAACAGAGGCAGCAACTCATCCATCTTCAGCTCTGATTGCAGTACCCAGGTCCCTGCTGTGCTCACTGCATGTCAGAACTTCCACAGCAGGCCTGGCGGGTAAGCTGCTCACTCACTGCCACCCTGCACGCCTCTGCTCCCTGCGAGGATGGCTGGAGCCCCAAGACAGAACTCAGACTTATCCTCTGTTCCGGTGCCCTGTGCTCCGCCCACTCTCCTCTTGGCTCTCTCTTTACTGCTGTGACCAGTGCGGACCCTTCAGTGGCCTCCTGACTCGAGCTCTCATCTTCTGTCTCTCTGGAGTCTCACCCTCCTACAGTCTGTCCAAACATCAGCTTCCCATTGCCCTGAACACAAGCCCGGGGTCCTGGCAGGGTCCCAGCCCCACACACCTCCGGCCCATCTGCTTCCCCTTCTGGAATGCCTGTCCACTCAGCACAGGCTCTTCTCTGCCCAGCAGACCCTGGCCTCTTGGTGCCCTGCACTGACTCTCCCTGTGACCCTAGGCCCCTTTCCTTCCTGCGGGGGTGGCCTGTGACCATCTGCTTTATGCCTGATGCCTGAGCAAGCCTCTCTTGAGTGCCTCCACCAAGACAGTCTGTGTCTGCAGAGCCTGGGAGTGACGGGTCTCTGCACCACTGCCCAGACCTGCACACTCTGTGCCCTGGGGCTCTGCCATCTCTGCAGAGAAGGACCTGGGAATGTGTGTACGTGCGTGCGTGCGTGTGCCCGTGTGTGTGTATGTATGTATATGTTGAGTGTACACATGCTCGATTCTGTGTGTGACAGAGACAGACACACGGAACCTTGAACAATTTTGAACCCCAGTTGCAGTGAGGCCTTGAACTGAGCATGGAGCTGAGATTGTTTATTCAGGGCGAGTGCCCTCACTCTCTGGGGTCCCTCCCCGGTCTGTGCAGGCCCCAGTATGTTCCTGAAGGTGGAGACATGTTCCCGGGGCTACTCCTCTTCCAGCGGAAGCCGAAGAAAGACACCTGCATGAGAAGGTGTTGGTTTGGCGCTGAGCCCTTGGCCCCGGGTACGCGCTTGGCAGTTCTGCCCCGGGGCACAGGCCAGGCCACTCACACAGAGAAAAGTCCCCACCTGGGCTCTGCTCCATGCAGCCCTCACTGGCAGGCCGTGTCTGCCTCCTGTCCTACTCTGCCACCCTGAGCACCAGCTTGGCTGAATGCTGCAACCCTGCCTCCCGCCCGCCTGGCCTGGCTGGGCTGGGGAAACCCACGGGCCCCAGCTGAGCCCTTTTTACCTGAGCACTTGGCGTAGACCGTCTGCTCGTCCCTGCTCTGGGCGATGCAGGACAGATGCACCTTCTGCTCCTCAGTCTTGGCCACATCGACGTTCAGCACGATCAGAGAGCCCACGGGGATGAGGCTGGTACAGAGGCCACTCGGTGTGTGCTCCCTGGAGCCCTTATGCCCCACCCACCTCCTCTTCCTTTTGCCCTGTCTTGAGGATGCCAGTGGCTCTGGGCCCCAGTGACAGAGGTTGTGTCCTGGCCCGGGAGCAGAGGGACAGCTTGGCAGCGAGGTGGGGAGGGTGAGTGACCTTGTATCCCAGCTGCCCAGGTTGGCCATCCTCTGTGCTAAGAGTCTGACACCCGCCAGCACCCCAAGCCCTGCACTTACTTTTTGAACCTGATGTTCAGGTTCACCGTGAAGAGCCCCTCAGCGGCCAGGTAGGCGGTCTTGGAGAAGGTCTCGTCGATCATGGCGGTCAGCGAGCCTCCGTGGGCGTACCTGAGGGTGTGAGGGCAGGGCTGGGGCTGGTGGGCACACCCCTGCATCTCTCCCAGCTCCCAGGCCCAAGTGCAACATCCCCCTCCCTGCCTTCTCCAAACACAGCCCCTCAGTCTCCAGATGCTGAACCAGAAAGGCAGCAGAGCCGCTGCCCTCTGATCATGCCCCAACTCCGCCAGCTGTGTCACAGGTGGCTTCAGCATGTGTTCATGACAACTGATGCGATGGTGATGGTGATGGTGGTGGTGATGATGGTGATGATGGTGATGGTGATGATGGTGATGGCGATGATGGTGATGGTGATGATGATTGGGATGATGGTGATGATGGTGATGATGGTGATGGCAATGATGGTGATGGTGATAGTGATTGGGATGATGGTGATGGTGATGGTGGTGATGGTGATGGTGATGATGGTGATGGTGATGATGATGATTATGTGATGGGGATGATGGTGATGGTGATGATGGTGGTGATGGTGATGATGATGATGGTGGTGATGGTGATGATGGTGATGGTGATTGGGATGATGGTGATGGTGATGATGATTGGGATGATGGTGATGGTGATGATGGTGATGATGGTGATGGTGATGGTGATAGTGATTGGGATGATGGTGATGGTGATGGTGGTGATGGTGATGATGGTGATGGTGATGATGATGATTATGTGATGGGGATGATGGTGATGGTGATGATGATGATTATGTGATGGTGATGATGGTGATGGTGATGATGGTGATGGCGATGATGGTGATGGTGATAGTGATTGGGATGATGGTGATGATGGTGATGATGGTGATGGTGATGATGGTGGTGATGGTGATGATGGTGATGGTGATTGGGATGATGGTGATGGAGTTGATGATTATTATGATGGTGATGGTGATGATGGTGATGATGGTGATGGCGATGGTGACGGTGATAGTGATTGGGATGATGGTGATGGTGATGGTGGTGATGGTGATGGTGATGATGGTGATGGAGTTGATGATGATTATGTGATGGGGATGATGGTGATGGTGATGATGGTGGTGATGGTGATGGTGATAGTGATTGGGATGATGGTGATGATGGTGATGATGGTGATGGTGATCACGGTGGTGATGGTGATGATGGTGATGGTGATTGGGATGATGGTGATGGTGATGATGATTGGGATGATGGTGATGATGGTGATGATGGTGATGGCAATGATGGTGATGGTGATAGTGATTGGGATGATGGTGATGGTGATGGTGGTGATGGTGATGGTGATGATGGTGATGGTGATGATGATGATTATGTGATGGGGATGATGGTGATGGTGATGATGGTGGTGATGGTGATGGTGATAGTGATTGGGATGATGGTGATGGTGGTGGTGATGGTGATGATGGTGATGGTGATGGTGATTGGGATGATGGTGATGGTGATGATTGGGATGGTGATGATGATCATGACTTGGCTTTTGGGCCACACCTGGTGATGCTCAGGGGTTATCCTGGCTCAACACTCAGGAATTACTCCTGGCAGTGCTCGGAGGTCCATATGGGATCCTCAGGATTGAACTGCGGTCAGCTACATGCAAGGCCAATGTCCCACCCACTGCCCTATTGCTCCAGCTCCTTGATGTGATTATTTCATTCCACCTGGAATCCTTTTCTGTTTCTGGTTGAGTCCATGGGAAAATGTTTATCTCTTCTATCACCAAGTAGCTGGTAGCAGCACCATCAGCTGGAGGTGAACAAGGTTCTGAGCTACTGATTTGGTCTGAGGGCCAAGGCCTGGGCCCTGTCACTGCCTGACTGTCACTGGTGTGTGCAGGGCCTGCATCTGGAGTGAGCCAGGTAAGCATGGAAGGACACTGGTGTCTGTGGTGTGCTGACAGGTGGGGTCCTGACAGCCGAGACTTCATACATTCACTCTGTTAAAGGTGTCGGTTTTATTCTCAGTGTGTGAGCCAACTCTGCGTCAAAGCCCTGCACAGCAGGCAGAGCTGGGGGGCGCAGAGGGGCTTCTCCACTGCAGGACGCAGGGAACACGGGACAGGTGCTGACCAGCCCAAATCAGCTCTGCGTCTCCACGGACCCAGACAATTATCCTTGATGCCCCTGTATACTAGCTTCTGGCATCAACAGCTTCTCTGCCCTTTGGGAGAAAAAACTGGGGTGACCCTGGAACCACCCTCACCTCTTGGTTCCTTCCACCACTAATCACTACTGGTCCATCTTGAATATGTTGCTAGACCTTCCTGAGCTCTAGTCTTTCCACTAAAAAAATGGTGAATAAAAGTAACTCCCCGTGACATCAGAGTAGTTGCGGAGAGGTTGACGGAATCTCAGGCAGGTTTGCTGTGACCCCTACATTGACCAAAAGAGGGAGAAAGAAGTTGTTGTCTGGCCATAGAGAGAGGCTTGGGGGCTGAGCACAGGCTTTGCTTGTGGGCAGGCCAGGTTTCATCCCCAGCACTGCATGGTCCCCTGAACACCTCCAAGAATGACCTCTGAACACGGAGACTGGCGTAACCACAGAGCACCATCAGGGGTATCCCCAATTCCTCCACTGTGCCCCCGTCCCCACCAAAGTTGGAAGTTGGTGTCAAAGAACTCCCAGTATGCTCCGGTCCTTACCACCCATCAGGGGACTCACAGGTACCCGCAGGGACTCTTCAGGGCTCTTATCCCATCAGCACCTCCCCACAGCTGAACAGGGACTAACCTCCTCCTGACTCCCCGACCCCACATGCCTCTGTGCTGATGGTCCCCTCTGCCCTGCCTTTAGGAGTTCTGAGTGAAAGGCCCGTGCCGGTAGGGGTTTCTCTCAGCGGGCTGGTGGACCTTCCTGACACAGGTCCATATGTGCAAATCAGTGTCCTTGTAGTACCCTGGGGTAGCCCTTGTGACACAGCTGCAGTCTGAGCTCTCAATACAGAGGTACAAGCCCCCAAGAAGCCCCTGGATTCCCCTGAACTGCAGTGGACTCCATCTCCGGTGCTCTCTCTCTGGAACGCAAGTATGCCAGCAGCCTTCTGTGGCTAAAGCAAAGACAGAAAGGGAAGTGAAGGCCCAAGGCCTGCATGATTCCCCCTTGGGGGTGTTTCTGTCTGGTGTCAGTTCTGTCCTGGGTCACTCTCCAAGTGTGGAGGCAGCTGAGGACAATGACCGTGGAAACCCCCCCCCTCACCACCACCACACACACACACCAGGCCAGGAGCCCAGGTCTGACCTTGGACACATCCCCACTGAGGCTCAGCCTGGCGGGGAAAGCCAGTGTGTGTCCGCCTTGTGCCATGGTGTGTGAGCTTGTCATGCGTGTGGGCCAAGGGAGTCTGTCCCCAGTGCCTCTCACCTGTGAGCATTATGGCATCTGGTTGGTTTGGGGGCAGGAGACAAAAGGCCACACAGAAAATGGTTTGCTCTGGGCTCCAAGGCGAGGAGTAGCCACGGAGCAAGGCTGGGAGCCTGATGGGCTCCCTAACTCCCATCTCATCCTTGCTGAAGTTTCCTCCTCAACGAGGTAGCCTCAGAGACCCCTGGTGACCCGGAGCCCCTGAAGGAGGTGCCCCTCTGTCCAGACATCAGTGATGGGACCAGATGGTTTGGGAGGGACTTTCAGAGCTGAGATTGGGCACCCAGGGCCCCAGCCCCCAGCAAGCCTCTTAGCATGGTCAGAGGTAGCCAGGAATATGCCCCACCCCCGCTTGCCTGTGGCCTTACCCAGGGGCCCCCTCTAGGTTCGGGCCTGGTTGGAAAAGGCAGACAGACTTCTTCTTGGATGGGTGGAAAAAGATGACATACTCGAAGCCTTGCCCCTCCTGTGGGATGCAGCGGGTAGCGATGCGCCAGTCACTGTTGTCTGGGGAGAGAGGTAGGGTTGGTGCTTGGAGGAGGGTGACCGAGGGGAGGGGGGTGGGCCCAGGGTGAAGGGCATGGGCTGGCCCAGCACCACAGACCGAGTCCTGCCACCCACAAAGGGGATCCAGCCTGCATCCCCGCAGCCTTAGTCTGAAGACAAGGCCACTGCACTTCTCTGGAGGACCCTTACTGGGGTCTGAAGGCAAGTTCCCAGGTGGAGGGTGAAGGCAGGCCTAGAACCATGTGAAAACCATGAATGGATTGTAAACATCAAAATTCAACACGAAAACTCCCAGGGCTGGAGTGATAGTATAGCACTTGCCCTGCACAGGGTTGAATTGGATTCGATCCCAGCATCCCTTATGGTACCCTGAGCCCACCAAGAGTGATGCCTGAGTGCAGAACCAGGCGTAAGCCCTGAGTACCTCTGGGTGTAGCGCCCAAATCAAAACACACACACACACACACACACACACACACACACACGCAAAATAAAATAAAAAACTCCTGACTGACTCTTCAAGCCCGTGTTCTTCTCACTTGCCTGTCTCATCGACTCTTTGCATGCTTACTTGTTCTTTCAAATGTATGTTCTCTCTTCAACCATATTCTTTTTTTTCCTTTCTTTATCTTTTTTTTTTTTTTTTGCTTTTTGGGTCACACCCAGCAATGCTCAGGGGTTCCTCTCAGGGGTTCCTTCTGGCTCTGCACTCAGAAATTCCTCCTGGCGGTGCTCGGGGGACTATATGGGATGCTGGGAGTCGAACCCGGGTCAGCCGCGTGCAAGGCAAACGCCTTCCCCGCTATGCTGTCGCTCCAGCCCCACTTCAACTGTATTATTTCCTTCACCCCCACTCTTGCACATTTCTAAATAAGTTTCATTCATAAAAACTCTCTTGCTTCAAAAATAAAACGTCCAGGTCACGGAGAGAGCTCCAAGGACTGGAGTGTAGATTTTGCATACAGAAGACCCAGGTTCGATCCCTGGCACAATGGGGTCCCCTGAGCACTAAAGTTGGAGTAGCTGTGAGCGCATTGGGTACAGCCCCCAAACAAATGAAAGCCACTTGTTATACACATGTCATAACATGTGGGATGCAGCAGATAGCGATGCAATTAGACTATAAGGCAGCTAGGGGAAAGTCCTCCAAAATCCCGAATTCTGTCCCCAAGAAGTAGAGCTGGCTGCATTCATTTTGGGTGGACACCAGATTCTTTCAAAATATAATTTTGGGGCAAAATAGACGATATAGCATGCAGAGCATTTGCCTTGCAAGGAGCCAACATGGGTTAGACCCCTGGCACTCCAAAGGGTCTCCTGAACCCTGCCAGGAGTGATCACTGAGTGCAGAGCCAGGAGAAAGCCCTGAGCACTCCTGGGTGTGGCCTTTAAAGGAAACCAAACAAACAAACTCATTATTTTTGTGCCTTTTTTTTTCTTTGGGGGAGGAGGGCAGGGGTTACCTCTCAAGCAGTGTTCGGGGGACCTGCGGGTCACCCTAGGAGAGAGTTGGCTCAGCTGTGCTGGGGGCCCCCATAGTAGGGATTTCCATAAATGCCAGGCCTTGAACTTGGAGCAGCTCCTGCCCTTTGTACCATCTCTGAGACCCACTCCAGCTGTTTGTGTGGTCTGGCTTCTATCACACCTGTTTAGAGCCGGAAGCCTGTGTGGATGAACCCACGAGAGAGCCAAGAAAACACATACACACACACACACACAAACACATACATACATACTCACACAGAGCACCAAGAGGTAAGGAAAGGGCCTCAGTGTGATCTAATGGGGGTCCAGGATTGCTGCTGGGCTGGGCTGGGATGGGTGTGTGGAGGCCCGCAGCAGGCAAGAGGAGTCGGAGACCTTCTTGGGATGCAGGTGAGGACAGGGATAGGAAGATCAGCGTTGGGGAGGAACTCAGTATGGGGGGGAGCGAAAGATCAGAAGATCAGCCATGGGGGAAGGAAGGTCAGCCCGGGGAGAGAAATGACAGGGAGCAGAGCCGATGCTTCTCTAACAGTGTCTCTCACCATTTCTGGGGTAGGAGCAGAGGTAGTTGGCAAGGATTGGATCTTTCTAAAAGAACCTGGCAGACCCGTTAGGTGGAGTCTGGGGTCACAGGGTTGGGCCAGAGCGGACATGTGGTTATGAAGGAGGAAGATGCTCCCCCAAGGTTGGGCCTTACCTGAGGGATCGTCACACCCCAACCCCGAGGGAAGCTTGAGCCCCTTCACGTGATCCCGGTTGGACTTGAAGGAGGGCAGTTTGACCCAGCCGCCAGTCTTGGTTTTCTCCAGGAACTCTTGGTACAGGCTCAGCATGTCCGGGCACCAGCTGGCATTGGGCAGGGCATAGTCCCTCACATCTGGCTTCTCCACACAGAACCTCGCCACCTGAGCAGAAACAGTGCCCAGGGTGATGGGATGGGTGAGGTGGCTGGTTTCTCTCTCAGAGCAGAGGAGGCTGCCACACGTGGAAGCCTGCAGCTCTGGACAGGACAGGGTGACTGTCCTCGTAAGCCTGTGAGCACTTTTTTTTTTTTTTAAATTGTTTCGGCCACATTCAGCAGTACTCAGGGATTACTCCTGGCAGGGCACAGGGAGACCCTATGGGATGCTGGCGTCAAATCTGGGGGCCAAACTGCATGTCCAGCAAGCACCCTCCCAGATGTGCTATCTCTTCAGCCGGGAGGGTGCTTGCAGCTTGCACTCTTTTTTTTTTTTACTATTAATAATTAAATTTATTTTTTTATAAACCTAAAAGGGATTTAAAATAGTTTTACTATTTTTATATTTAATAGTTATTTAATAGGCCGGAGCAATAGCATAGTGGGCAGGGCATTTGCCCTGCACGTGGTCAACCTGGGTTCAATTCTTCTGCCCCTCTCTCGGAGAGTCCGGCAGGCTACCGAGAGCTTTCCACCCGCACAGCAAAGCCTGGCAAGCTACCCATAACATTTTCTTTTTTTTGGTTTTGCTTTTTGGGTCACACCTGGCGATGCACAGGGGTTACTCCTGGCTCTGCGCTCAGGAATCACCCCTGGCAGTGCTCAGGGGACCATATGGGATGCTGGGAATTGAACCCGGGTCGGCCGCGTGGAAGGCAAACGCCCTACCCGCTGTGCTATTGCTCCACCCCCCCCCATAACATTTTCGATATGCCAAAAACAGTAACAACAAGTCTCACAATGGAGACGTTACAGGTGCCCGCTCGAGAAAATCGATGATCAATGAGAGGACAGTGCTACGGTGCTACAGTCATTTAATCACTAACACTATCACCCCGTTTTTCATCAATTTGCTTGAGCGCTTGTGCTCTTTCTTAAAAAAAATTTTTTTTTAAATGGAATCACTGTGAGATGACAGTTGCAAAGTTATTCATGATTGGGTTTCAGTCATACAATGTTCCAACACGGGTCCCTTCACCAGTGTCCATTTCCCACCACCAATGTCCCCAGGTTCTCTCCTGCCACCCTCATCCCACCTCCCCAGCCCGCCGCTGTGGCACATTTTTTCTTCTGTCTGTCTGTCTGTCTGTCTGTCTGTCTCATTTTTCTTCTAGGCATTGCAGTTTGCACTACGGTTACTGAAAGGGTCTCATGCATATCACTTTACGTGCTTTCAGACGTGGAAGCTAAAGGATGAACCTTGATAAAGCTTTAAGGATGAAACATCACTGACCAAGGACCAAGCAAGCAGAAGCAAAGACAAACAAAAGCGATCACATTAAACCAAGAAGCTTCTGCACTTCAAAGGAAATGATGACCAGAGCACATAGACAGCCCACAGAATGGGAAAAATGATTTACTCAATGTTCATCTGATAAGTGGTTAATATCTAAGACATACAAGGCACTGGCAGAACTTTACAAGAAAAAAATAAATCCCTATAAAAAGATGGGGAGGGGGCTGGAGCGATAGCAGAGCAGGTAGGGCGTTTGCCTTGCACGCAGCCAACATGACCGACACAGGTTCGATTCCCAGCACCCCATATGGTCCCCTGAGCACCGCCAGGAGCAGTTCCTGAGTGCATGAGCCAGGAGTAACCCCTGAGCGTCGCCGGGTGTGACCAAAAAGCAAAAAAAAAAAAAAAAAAGATGGGGAGAAGACATGAAACTTCCTCAAAGAAGAAATACAAATGGCCCAAAGGAACATGAAAAAAAGTACTCTGCATCAGTAATCATCAGGAAAATGCAAATCAACAAAATAATGAGATATCGTCATCTCAGACCACAGAGACTGGCACACATCAAAAAGAACAGCCACTGCTGGTGAGCAGTTTTCTGAGGCGACACGGGCCCCTTAGTCCAGCTGGCCCTGGGCGTATGGCTGAGACTGGTGGCTGTGAGCGGGAGAGAGGGTGGCCATGCTCGAGTCTGCTCCGAGACACGTCTCAGCTGGCTCTGGTGTGGGGGAGCTCCCCGCGTCCCTCCGTCAGGAACAAGTCCTGCCCTGTGTGGGAGGCCTGCCCTGGCAGGGTGGGGCCTCTGCATCTGCCAGGGGCTCCCCAGAAGCTTGGCGGCCTCAGCTGGGTGAGGACTTTGAGGTCTGTGAGGGCGCTGTGGGCCAAGTCCGCACACAGGACCCTCCATAAATGGACCCCCGGCCCCTCTCTGGGAAGACAGCCAGGGGAACCATGTAGTCAGATCAGGGCACAGTGTCCTAAGGGTGTCAGAGAGATAGTAGGGCAGGCAGGACACCGGCCTTGCAGGTTCCGGACCCAGGTTTGACCCCTGAGCACCACCAAGAGTGGTCTCTAAGCACTGAGCTGAGCCGGGGTGGCCCCCAAACAGTTTATTTTATTTATTTATTTATTTTTTTGGGTCACACCCAGCAATGCTCAGGGGTTACTCCTGGCTTTGCACTCAGGAATTACTCCCGGCGGTGCTTGGGGGACCATATGGAATGCCGGGGATCGAACCCAGGTCGGCCGCGTGCAAGGCAAACACGCTACCTGCTGTGCTATCGCTCTGGCCCGTGGCCCCCAAACAAACAAAAAATTAAAACAAAGCCAAAGTGTCCTGAGGGGATCAGTTTGGGACCTAATTTCCCTGGCGTCCTGGGCCACCTTCCTTCTAACCATCAGCTCCCTCCACATCTGGGAAGAGGAGGCTTGGCGTGATGGAATTTAACTTTGGGGGGGCTGACTCCCAAGTGATGTTCACGGGGCCAAGGCTGCCCTCCCAGCAAGTCTCAGCCACAGGGCTGGTGTCTCAGTGCCAGGGCCAGGCTGAGGATGTGGTGTGGTTTGAGTGCTCTAGTGCCCAGGGCTGCACCCCGTGATGCTCAGAGGATACTTTCGGCCTGGGACGCCAGCGTGGAGACCAGCTCTCCCTCACGCCTAGCATGTGCTCAGCCCTTTCAGCTGAGGGGGGTTGTGGGGGGCTGCGGGATGGAGCTCACTCACCAGGGCGTCGGAGGAGGATCCGAAGGCTGCGGCAGGGCTGACTCTGGGTAGGATGCTGGGCAGGCCAGGGAGGGCCTGGGGACGGGCGAGTCTTGCTGCCACCTGGAAGCCTGTCCTTATCATGGCTAAGCGGGGCTGCCAGACCTCTGCTGAAGACAAGGGGCCAGCCGGGAAACGCTTTGTCGCTCTTCCGAAGCCCCTGGTACACTCTAGGCCCAGAGGCCTTTTTGCTTTCAACTGTGCAGATTTCTGCAGGGAGGACAGAGACCAGCCCAGCTGGTTTGAAAGTGGCTGGGGCTTTTCTACCCGGGCCGGCCCCACCCGGTGCTTGGGGGAGGAGCGGGAACTGCCTGAGCAGGAAAGAAGAGCCCAGCTGGCCCAAGTATCAGGAGTTGGGCAAGGCAGACAGTACAGCGGGGAGGGCGCTTACATCGCGTGAGGCCCATCTGGGTTAGATCCCCGACATCACAGGAGTGACCCCTGGTCACAGAGCCAGGAGTAAGCCCAGAGCTACAAGTGTGACCCATCCCTGTCTCCCACCCACCAAAGGCAAAGCTTGTACAGAAAGGGCCAGGGAGAGGACGAAGGGCTGAACTTTGCATGCTGCGGGTCCGGGTTTGAGCTCCAGGACTTGTCGGGGTGGCCCTTGAGTACAGAGCCAGGAGCAGCCTTTGAATGATGCTGGGTGTGGCCCCCTCCCCCCAAAACAGTACATAAAGAGGGGCCAGAGTGAGAGTACAGTGAGTAGGATGCTTGTCTTTTTAAAAAATTTTTATTAGTGAAACACCATGAGGTACAGTTGTGGACTTACAGGTTTTTGTGCTTGGGTTTCAGTTATACAATGATCGAGTACCCGTCCCTCCACCAGTGCCCATTCTCCACCACCGATGATCCCAGTAGCCCTTCCACCCCAAGGATGCTCGTCTTGAATGCAGCTGACCCGGGTTCAATCCCCGGCATCCCGCATGCTTCCCTGAGCCAGCCAGGAGTGACCCCTGAACACAGAGCCGGGAGTAAGCCCTGAGTACAGGCGGGTGTGGTCCCAAAACAAATAAGCAAAAGAAACAGTCTGAGGAGCATGGAGCCCACTCTGAGCTCGCTCTGGAGGGAGAGCCCCCCACACGAGTGCGGCACAGAGGCAGGCCGGCCCCAACTGGACAGTACTGGGCACTGTGGTGTGAGCCAGGCAGCAGGCGGGAAGGCCTCAGAGGGGTGCACAGAAAGTTCTAGGATGAAAGAGCTGTGCTCTGGGACCGGAAGAGGATGAGGCTGACTGGCGGGGGTTGAGGGAACAGGCATGGTGTCAGGTTGTGGGCATTGTTTTTTTTTTTTTTTCTGTTTGAGGGCCACACCCAGGGGTGCTCAGGGCTTACTCCTGGCTCTGCACTCAGGATCACTCCTGGTGGGCCCAAGGGGACCTTATGAGGTGCCAGGGATCAAATTTGGGTCAGCCGCATGCAAGGCAAATACTCTCCCCACTGTGCGATCACTCTGGCCCAGCATCTTGGGTTCTAATGTGGTACTGGGGGGCCTTCTGAGATGACTCCTGGGTGGATACTGGTCGCTGGAGAGAGAGAGCAAGAAAAACTGAAATAGAGAATTGCAAGTCTCCGGCCTCCAGGAAGGAAAGATGCTGGAATTGGAGTTCCTACTCCATCAGGCTGATGGGAGGAGCCGGTTCCCAAGTCCCAGCGTGCTGGGCTTGGAGAGCTGCCAGACAGACGCACCCCATCGCCACGGAGAGAAGCGTCTGTGCTCTCTGCCTCTCCTGCCTCTTTATCTGATGGTTCACCTGCATCCTTGATCATAGCCTTCTTGATGTAATCACCAGATTTGTGTCACCCTGAGTTCTGGGAGGGTTCTGAGGCCCAAGGAAGGGGTGTGGGAAGCTCTAGTGTAGGGACCTTCTACTTTACACAAACATCTGGAAGTGGGAGGCAGTGTGGTAGGTCTGAGGTCTTCATCTGTGAGTCTGCCCAAAATCTGGTTAGTGTCGAAATTGAAGTGTCAGAATGCAGGCAGTGATGTAGAGAATTTGCAGGTATGGGGGAGACCCACCCCTCGGGGTCAGCAGTGTGTCTAGGAGAAACGGGACATGAGAGAGAGCACAGGGATTAAGGATCTTGCTTTGTGTGAGACCGATCAGAGTTCTATCACCAGCACCACAGATGGTTCCCCAGCCCTGTCAGGGCTCACTCTGGAGCACAGAGCTGGAAATGGCCCCTGAGCATCATCCGGTGTGACCCAACTCTCCCTTCCCCACACCCCAAAGAAAGAAAAGAGAAATGTGGACACTGAGCTGAACTCATTGTCTTAGAATTTTTGGTTAAATTCACTTCCAAATTCATTCCAAAATTCATAGCATCATGTAAAGGTAAAGGTAAAGGCCCTCCCGTTGATCGTCGATTTGCTCGAGCGGGCCCAGTAACGTCTCCATTGGAGACTTTGTTGTTACTGTGTCTGGCATATCGAATACTCTCGGTGGCTTGCCGGGCTCTCCGAGAGGGGCGGAGGAATCGAACTCGGGTCGGCCATGCTGGCCGCTTGTAAGGCGAACGCCCTACCCGCTGTGCTATCCCATGATTCTATACATTTTTGTTCTCCGTTTTGCCAATAACTATGTGTAGGTTTCCTTTCTTGTACAACAGCTATTCTTCTTGTGTTGGTAATTCCAGTGTTTATTGAGTGTCCAGGAGAGTGTCAGGGAACCAAGAGCTAATCAGAGGTTGAGATGGTCAATCATCACCTTCTAAAAAGATGGAAATAAACGTTTCTATTGATTTAATAAAGCCCCCTGAATAGACAGCCCCGAGTGGAGAGAAGAGCCCGAAGAAAGGGACGGGAGAGCTGTCGGTGACATCTCAGGGCAGACAAGGGAGTGAAGAATGTGCCAGTCAGAGGCAGAAAGACGTTATCTGAGAGGAGCATCTCCAGGATGGTGAAACTGTGGGCACAGTCCCGAAGTTTCTGGAACAGAGTAGGGGGAGTTTTTGAAAGTCATCTAAGTGCCACACATGAAGTCTTTTATAAAACTTGTATAAAACCAGGAGGCACGATGGCGCTGATGCTGGTTGAACCCCTCGCACTCTCCCCATCCCGGCTCACCATCTCGCTCTGGGTGACGCACAGCTCGGCGCACTGGCGTGGAGTTCCACGTGTGATCCCTGCTGGGGCTCTGCGCGTGGTTCCTGCTGGACATCACGGGCTGCTTTGCGGGATTGGGGCAGAATGGTGTGAACGGGGTGAGGAAAGACCGAGGCAGCGGCCACAGCATCACCGCCTCCCCCAGCTGGACTGAGTCACTGCTCGGCGACTTGTCCACTGTGGGATGCTGTCCACCAACCACCGAGAGACTCGGAACTCGGTGCAGGTGTTTGACTTGGCACAGACCCTATGCGATGGGATCTTGCTCTGCCCTGCTCACCAGCCTCTGGGCTCGCACCATCCACCTCAAGGAGATCAACCTGAGGCTGCAGATGCCCCAGGCGCTGCCTGGAGATGCTGGCAGGTGCTCGTTTTCAGAGTACAAACTGTTACAAGAGACCAGCTAGGAGCTGACATTCAATAGACTGGGAATACCTGCAGGGATGATTAGAGATCGCCCCCAAAGCCTCCATCTTCTCCCCAGGGAGCCTGACGAGCTACCGAGGGTATCCAACCTGCACGGCAGAGCCTGGCAAGCCACCCGTGGTGTACCAAAGATGCCAACCACAGTAGCTAAAATGGGCCTCATTTCCTTAATCCTGAAGGAGTCTCCAGCTGAGTTGGGAAGAACAAGAGGGCTTGTACTAAGCAGATGCCACACAAGTCAACGGGTGGGAAGGCCACCAAGGCGCACCACAAGAGCACGCCAGCCATGGGTGGTGTGAAGAAGCCACACCCTACCGGCCCGACACCGTGGCACTACTTGAGATCCACCAGCTGCCATTCCAGCGGCTAGTGCATGAGATAGTGTAGGTCTTCAAGACTGACCTGTGCTCCCAGAGCTCGGGCGTCATGGCGCTGCAGGAGGCGTGCGAGGCCTACCTGGTGGGGCTCTTCGAGGACACCAACCTCTGTGCATTCCCCGCCAAGCGCGTCACCATCATGCCCAAGGACATACAGCTGGTGTGCTGCATCCACGGCGAGAGAGCATAAAGTTTACAATGCTAAAATCTCAGGGCTGGGACAGATGGAGACGCTACTGGAGCCCACTCGATTAATCGATGATTAATGGGATGACAGTGACAGATAAAACTTTAATTGAGGTTCCATGATTCACAATGTTGTTTTTTTCAAAAAATTTTTTATTTATATATTTATAATTGATAATTGATATTTATAATTGATATTTATAATTTGTTACAGGCTGGAGTGATAGCACAGCGGTAGGGCGTTTGCCTTGCATGCAGCCAACATGGCCGACCCGAGTTCGATTCCTCCGCCCCCTCGGAGAGCCCGGCAAGCTACCGAGAGTATCTCGCCCGCACGGCAGAGCCTGGCAAGCTCCCCGTGACGTATTCGACATGCCAGACACAGTAACAACAAAGTCTCCAATGGAGACGTTACTGGGCCCGCTCGAGCAAATCGATGATCAATGGGAGGGCCTTTACTTTACTTTATTTATAATTGAATCACCATGAGATAACACAGTTACAAAGTTGTTCACGATTGGGTTTCAGTCATACAATGTTCCAACACCTGTCCCTTCACAAGTGTACATTTCCCAACACCGGTGTCCCCAGTTTTTTCCTCCTGTCCACCTTCCTTATTACCACCCCCCCCAGCCTGTCTCTATGGCAGACACTTAAATTCTCTCTCCCTCATTTTCCTTTTAAGCACTGTTACAGAGGGTATCGTGCATAACACTACCTCCTTTCAGCACTGGGTTCTTGTCCAGGGTGGTCGTTTCCAAGTCTCACTGTCATAATGGTCCCTTCTCTGTTCTAGCTGCACTCTCCCTCCTCATCCGTGGCAAGCTTCCCACCACGGACTAGCCCTTGTATCTACTATCCTTAGGTATTATTCATATACTATGTTTTTTAAAACATTTATATCCCACAAATGAGCACAACCATTGTTCGTCCCTGTTCCTCTAATTTCACTCAGCGTGATACTCTCCCCCTAGACAGCCAAAGACCTCC